CTCATATGTTAAGTAAATTTCGGAATGGAAAGATCCATGATTTAAAATTTTGAATTTTATTGATGTTTATAGTATCGCACTTTGTGGCATTTGTTCTTGGTTTTGCATTTATTATGAATGAATACCAGTTTTTATTGAGACCACCATTGAAAAACTGGAAGCAGTAGACGGCCGTTTCGTTCTAGTATGGGCTCCTCATCAGTGCGAATCCACGATCCCGCATACGGAAATCGAACCCGAGACTATAGGTCTCACGAGAGACTGCTTGACCTCTAAACCACTGGGCCGGCATCCGACGGTGTTGATGTTTGACTACAACAATCTTCATAACCTTATACTGATAAATATCAGTTAGTTCCATCTAGATTTTGAATCAGCGTGTCATACGCGTTGTTCTAGATATCGCCGAATCCATTTGAAAGGGCGCGTCTAGGTGTTTGGACATATGAAATTTATCAAAACGTTATCGACTAATTTATCAGATCACTTAAATATAGTACGATAAAAAATAATCTAACTTTAAAATGCTGGTTAAGAAGATCTGTAACTCAGGTGGATGGTTTCGGTGGAGTTTTATTCATAAAATATGAAAACCAGACATTAAACACATAATTTCCACATCTTCCTTCGCTTACCCTTCACATGCTTCATGATTCTCTAAGTTCTGTTGTTATTATAATTATTCTCTGTTTACATTCCTCTTCTCTTCAATTCAATTTTCTTCTGCCAAGTATTCCACTCCTGGTTGGTGTTACATACCACTTATATCTGTCAACATAAGTAGCATACAAAACAACACCCATACTTACTAATTCAGACAATTGACCAGCAGTTCTCTATTCAAAAACCCATTTGGTTGGAATTATGGGATTCGTTATTTTAGTAAATTATCCGTATGATCAGCACAATCATTTCAATGTTTCATTAAAATTAAAATTCAGTTGTCATAACAAGAAGATTGTGATGTATTTCTGTCATACACTTTATACGATTAAATAAAATCGACCATATTCAATGAGTCAATTTTACTGTTGCAAACAACAAATGGAGATCATTACTCAGTGATAACAAGGTTAATGTAAGAAGTAGGGAAAGTTCGGGACATGTAGAATGTTACTTGTGGTAAGAAATTTACATTTAGATAATAAATAATGTTCTTCAAACAATGATCACTATGATCTCGTGGATCCAAACCAGGAGTTTTGGGGCTCCTTACGTGGCTTAGACCCAGAGTCAATTACATTATGGAATACTATCACTCATCAGTGTGGTCTGTCCTAGCCTCTTAGCTTGTCCTTATACTAGTCAACATTGCATGTCGAGATAAGTAATGCCTGCACATTTGCAACGCATTTCACGGTTGTCTCATTCGATGAAATATTACAGCTTTATTAATTAGTTCATTCGTCCTCTACAGTGGGACTCTGTGAGATGATTGTAAGTGTCCATCCACCTAGTGAAATCAACAGTCAAATAACGAAAAATTGAACTTTGAAGCTCAATAAAAAGGCTTTCATAATTGCTATGACTCTAAAATGAAAAAATATATATAGCTGTTGATGTCAATATCAGAACCGAGTAGCTACCAGGACTATGATAATCGATTTGAAATAGAATGATAACTTAGTGATAGCCCTAACAACAATTAGAACAGGATTAATTTTAATGCTTTTAATAATGTCTATAGATTTAATCAGAATCGTTTATTTAGTTTCAAATACATAAAGTGGAACGAGTTTACCGAAACGATGAGATGTAGTGATCTGTAATTAGAGAATACACATATATTTTATTCCTGGTGATTCTCTTTCAAATTTCTGTAAATGTTCTCAGAAATTAATTATTCTGAATACACTTTTTTCAAATCTTTACAGTAAGTCAATATATGAAGGAAGTTAAGGTCTTCCTCAGAGCATTCAGTAATATAGATCTCACGTATCTGGTAACTTGAAGAATGAATGAGGTTCCTCTTTCTGCGTCATAGCAAGCAACTATTGAAGTAAGTTAGTTGGTCTTTCCATATTTACTTTTAATGAACATCTAACACTCCTTGTCAGAGGTACATAGATTAACGAGACTAAACGATTTGCTTCGTTTTATGGCTTTAGTTCTAAGGGTGGATAAAAATTATCAGGATAGTGTCAATTAGGTCAACATCCTCGTCTTAATCGACGAATATGTCGTCCATATATCTCTGTACAAATTAAATCGTTCGATGACCAAACTAAGTTGTTTGAGAGATAGCACCATAAATATTGTTTCATTTCACCAAATGTTACTCCATTCAAAAGCAGAAACAATTAAGATTTTAACCAAAAATTTCGTCAAGACCTTCGAATTTGACGGAAGTAATTTTATAACTACTTCTCTCTTTTACATTTCATTTTAAAAATAAACCAATTATAGTGTAAGTGACCAAACATCTTCGATACTTTGTCACTAGAAACAAATCAACAAGCGAATTTATTAGTTAAATGAGACTTTTCCTTGAAATTATTGATAAATGAGATTTATATCCAGTTACCTAAAGTTACAGTCATCTGTATGAATAACGAGCAACCAGAGAGAGAGAGAAAAAAAACTTTGAGATACGAAACAGACTTTCGGTTATATCACTTTATTGCCATAGGGTTTCAGAGATTGTCGAATATTATTCAGATTACGAACCAATACGTAATAGAAAACCATTGAAAACCTGGAAGTTCAGTACAGTTAACTCATCTTAGCATGTAACACTTCAGCAATGCGTATTCAAAAACTTGTTACTGATGATTGAACAAAGGAATATAACTCACACGAGTGAATGATAGACATCTAGATAACAGAGTTGCAAAAGAATGCTACAAGGGTTTCAATGCATGTCTAGATTAGATCCATTCATGATCTTAGGTTAACTATAAACAGTTTTGTGTTTTAAATACCAAGGAAATATGTTATCTTGTTAAGTTGTAACGGAGTGAAACGTATGGAGATAAACTATTTAAAGATATATTGGACTGATTACAAAAAATGGCCTCGACAAGGTGACAATAATATAAACTATCGATAATTAACCAAGTCAACTCTTCTCAAATTATGAAAAATTATTTTCCTTCTCCGAATCGAGTCTTCGTTCACAAGGTCTTTTCTCATCAATTTATCCATAACTAACAGTGCAACTTCACTTAACCAAGATGATTTATACCTGAAACGACAAAATAGTCTGTTATTTCTTAACAGCACCAAATATTAAGTTCTAAATTTCCTGAATAATATGAAATGTGTAGGTTGAGAAAATAAGTGTTATGTTCACACCCACACAAATACTTTGAAATATATTCCATATGCTAATTTTATTTACCAGTCGTTGAAACATTGTCTATGTGTATGGACGTTTTTTGGTGAGAAAATTAGCCTGTCTTATTGTTTGTTTCGATATGATTCACTTTCATAGTTTTTATTAGTACAGTTTAGTAAGGTTCATGCATTGATAAACATTGCATTTTGATGTATACATATACAAAACTATACTATCAATGTTATCTTCATCACCTGCCAATTCATTTAACAACATAACAATGGCATTCGTTAAATTTCGTATCTTAAAGAGTACAAAAAATAAAAATGTACTAACTATAATTTGATGCTTACAAATATCTGAATGTTCTTTGGAAATCATCATTGACATTGTGCATCCTCTAATGAATTATCACGTCATATAATTGCCTAACTACACAAACTTCTGATTCATATGAGTTACGTTTTGATACACCGGTGCAATCAGAGACAAAGCAATCGTAGACATGCAAGTGATCTCAAATTGATGAGTTAATAATGAGACGATTCGCTATTAGTAATAGTGAAAATTTGTCGTCAAACTATTCAGCAAGCAATTATCCTGAAAATTCATATAAATATATTTATGGAATTTGTTCTCTGACCTGGGCTGTTTGGGCATGGAGCTTTGATCGTTCTTCTGAATGACATCTTCAGAACAAACTTCAGGAAGAAGTTCAATAACATCATTGTCAAACACTCGTCATAAACAATATCTTGACCAGAAAATGTTTCGATAGAATTTTATCATTTAGTAACTAAATAAATAGATAGTAAGCATTCTCTCTGTGCTCATGGACCAACCATCTATTCTGACAGTACCAAACTAGACAAATAGACTAATTTCATGAAATATATCACACTCAAAGGAAAAACTAAAATCCTATACTGTTTTGGTCGACAAAAGTAAACAGTAAAATCTTCGTTTTCGAGTGAGAATTTTGTGGAGATTTGGAATATCAGAAGTATTGTTAAGTTGTCTACATACGTCTTCTGTTATTCCTTGACGCTTACGGAATTCACTGAAATCACATCCGATCATTTACTGACTTAGTCAAATTAGAATACTATTATTATTAATATTATTATTATTGTTGAACTCAACACTTCATATCAAAAATATTGGAAAATGGAATTTCTAGACAACTCATCAACCAGTTGTTTGGAGATAGGATACCTCCCGACGACGTCAGTAGGCCACCAGAATAGAAAACATGTCTGTTGGCTTGTATTAAATCAGAGATTAATATTTCTTCAGTTGATCATCGATATTTACCATTTTGACGTTAATTCCATGTTCCATCATTCACAGCGTTACATTCGACTGGATTGAAAACTAACTGTGACTTCGCACTCAACACACGTTTCATTCTACAACACAATACTTTTCTTGTTACTAGTCAAATATCGGTTATTGGTGTGATACGAATCTCATATTTCACAGACAAACAAGTTTAAATAAACTTCAATTAACTTAGCTTTACAGAGGTCTCTCTTGTACAATGGATTTAATATTTTACCGAAAATTTTAGATAGAAAGATAATTTACTGAAAGTTACAGGAATAAACCCATTAACATTTTGATCAGACAGATTAGAAGTGATCTAATTTAATGTATTCTGGAATGCATTGTACCGAAAACAAATAGTCTAGTTGTAATAAAAATCATATTTTTAACTACTTAAATGGTACAAGTAGCTCAACCATTCTGAGTTAATTTCTCATCTGAATATGGATTCGTCACGAAGCTTGATCTAGATCATCAGTCATCTTGATAGGACGAATACAACTGATTTGTTCATGCATATCAGTAATTCCATAAAGATATACAGTACTACACTCAAGATTTGTAAAAATCGAATACGACCCACATAACCACATTCTCATACGATCCAAATACGTATCTAGCACAAACTAACTGATCAATGAGAAAATTCAAGATATCTCACTACTGCACTCATATTATGTAGACCAATGGGATTGGGAGATCATTATTCAGAGAGATGAACGAAATGACGAAAAATTGGAGGAAGTAGTTGAGAAGATATATGACTCTATGAAAGTAACTGAGAACATTTTGATATCAGCATACCCAGTGTTAAATCGCAAGTTACCGGAAAATATTAAATTCATTACAACGCAGGAATTAGAAGATATCTACCCCGACAAAAAACCGGCAGAACGTGAATATCTTGCAGTTAAACAGTATGGTGCTGTTTTTCTCAAACAGATCGGAAAGCTTCTGAAATCCAATACGATACACGACAATCGAGCCCCAGACTATGATGACTGGGAATTGAATGGAGATATACTAGTTTATAGTGAACACGACGATAGATGTATAGAATTGTCATCAATGGGTATCCGAGTGGATGAGTTGTCAATGGAGAGACAGTTGAAAGAAAGTGGTTGTGAAGCACGTAAACAGCTTGAATATCATCAAAATGTTCTGAATGGTATATATCCATTAACGATAGGTGGTGGAATAGGACAGAGTCGATTGTGTATGTTCTTTATGGAGAAGAAACATATTGGTGAAGTGCAAGTTAGTATATGGCCTGAACACGTTCGTCGTGAATGTGAACAGAATAATATATTTCTCCTGTAAACTGAACGAAATCATTTTCTCTCAGCTTTATTGTTGAAAAGAATGTGAAGTGCATGAATATTGATTGTATGTATGTTTTCATAAATGTTGTCCTTTCAATGATTCTGTGATTTTGAATTTCTTGTGTTCTCGACTATGACAATGGCGAAATAGATACTGTTTCAGCTAATCGTTAAATGAATGAATAGAGTTTTCACGTAATTTGATTGTGTGCAGAATACTTTTCAATTCTGAAGTTGATAAATTCGATGATCAGCTCTACAGATCGATATTTATTAGATGTAGATTACTTCCTAACTCTCACTAATGATCGAACAAGCTTAAAACTCAAAAGCTAGCAGGTTTGGATGGAGATCATTCAACGAATGATGTTAGATCACCATGGAAAATCTAGATGCACTGAACAGGCGTTTCGTCCAATTGCAGGACTCTTCTACAGTAAGCATACATGACCACCCTCGAGCGATTCCAACCCAGAGTCAAGTGTCTCGCACGTAAACGAGAAACCTCCAACGCTGTTAATATCTAACCTCAAAAAATCCATGAAATTGCGCGATCACCGTCCATTGTACTCAGGTGTTGTAGTGGATTTGACACTATTCTCAATATTTTCTATGGTGGGTTCCGAGCTGTGGTGGATGGAGACAGGTTTCCTGTGGATATTGACAGAATCTGACTAATTCGGTCTGTCGTTTGTGACTAGCTGATTACTACTAAGTGACGATATAGTGTGTGGAATCGCAAGGTGGAAAGCGATTATATTTCTCATTCTCTCCGTTGTACCAATGGGTTGGTAGTATTCTCACTAGCATTTTTAGACATCCAGGTTTCCTCGATTCAACCAACCTCCATATTCATGCTAATGACAGTTAGACGAGAAAGTTGCAAAGTGTATAGTGCTTCGGTTCGACTGATCACATTTTACCAAACTATAACAAGGGATTATCGAAGCTCTTACCACCCATGAGCACAAGCCATAACTATACATACAAAATAGTACGTCCTATCGTTATCATTACCTTGACCTTTATTATTACTATTATTATTGCATTTCTCCCCTTACGTGTCTTAAATCCTCATTAGTTTATTCATAATTGCTCATGATATCACTTTATTGACTTTTTACACGATCATGACCTTTAATTATTGTAACAAAAATATTTGAATCATCCTACTACATTCAAGTTCTAACTCGTTACTAACTTATTAAGTCGATTCATTATATGTGAAAATTATATTTGAAATATTCTCAGCGATTGAAATTTAACTAATTCCAACGTTTCGTCCAGCTAAACTTGTCTGGACTTACCCTGAAGAAGTCATGGGTCTCGCACGTAAACGAGAAACCTCCAACGCTGTTAATATCTAACCTCAAAAAATCCATGAAATTGCGCGATCACCGTCCATTGTACTCAGGTGTTGTAGTGGATTTGACACTATTCTCAATATTTTCTATGGTGGGTTCCGAGCTGTGGTGGATGGAGACAGGTTTCCTGTGGATATTGACAGAATCTGACTAATTCGGTCTGTCGTTTGTGACTAGCTGATTACTACTAAGTGACGATATAGTGTGTGGAATCGCAAGGTGGAAAGCGATTATATTTCTCATTCTCTCCGTTGTACCAATGGGTTGGTAGTATTCTCACTAGCATTTTTAGACATCCAGGTTTCCTCGATTCAACCAACCTCCATATTCATGCTAATGACAGTTAGACGAGAAAGTTGCAAAGTGTATAGTGCTTCGGTTCGACTGATCACATTTTACCAAACTATAACAAGGGATTATCGAAGCTCTTACCACCCATGAGCACAAGCCATAACTATACATACAAAATAGTACGTCCTATCGTTATCATTACCTTGACCTTTATTATTACTATTATTATTGCATTTCTCCCCTTACGTGTCTTAAATCCTCATTAGTTTATTCATAATTGCTCATGATATCACTTTATTGACTTTTTACACGATCATGACCTTTAATTATTGTAACAAAAATATTTGAATCATCCTACTACATTCAAGTTCTAACTCGTTACTAACTTATTAAGTCGATTCATTATATGTGAAAATTATATTTGAAATATTCTCAGCGATTGAAATTTAACTAATTCCAACGTTTCGTCCAGCTAAACTTGTCTGGACTTACCCTGAAGAAGTCATGGGTCTCGCACGTAAACGAGAAACCTCCAACGCTGTTAATATCTAACCTCAAAAAATCCATGAAATTGCGCGATCACCGTCCATTGTACTCAGGTGTTGTAGTGGATTTGACACTATTCTCAATATTTTCTATGGTGGGTTCCGAGCTGTGGTGGATGGAGACAGGTTTCCTGTGGATATTGACAGAATCTGACTAATTCGGTCTGTCGTTTGTGACTAGCTGATTACTACTAAGTGACGATATAGTGTGTGGAATCGCAAGGTGGAAAGCGATTATATTTCTCATTCTCTCCGTTGTACCAATGGGTTGGTAGTATTCTCACTAGCATTTTTAGACATCCAGGTTTCCTCGATTCAACCAACCTCCATATTCATGCTAATGACAGTTAGACGAGAAAGTTGCAAAGTGTATAGTGCTTCGGTTCGACTGATCACATTTTACCAAACTATAACAAGGGATTATCGAAGCTCTTACCACCCATGAGCACAAGCCATAACTATACATACAAAATAGTACGTCCTATCGTTATCATTACCTTGACCTTTATTATTACTATTATTATTGCATTTCTCCCCTTACGTGTCTTAAATCCTCATTAGTTTATTCATAATTGCTCATGATATCACTTTATTGACTTTTTACACGATCATGACCTTTAATTATTGTAACAAAAATATTTGAATCATCCTACTACATTCAAGTTCTAACTCGTTACTAACTTATTAAGTCGATTCATTATATGTGAAAATTATATTTGAAATATTCTCAGCGATTGAAATTTAACTAATTCCAACGTTTCGTCCAGCTAAACTTGTCTGGACTTACCCTGAAGAAGTCATGGGTCTCGCACGTAAACGAGAAACCTCCAACGCTGTTAATATCTAACCTCAAAAAATCCATGAAATTGCGCGATCACCGTCCATTGTACTCAGGTGTTGTAGTGGATTTGACACTATTCTCAATATTTTCTATGGTGGGTTCCGAGCTGTGGTGGATGGAGACAGGTTTCCTGTGGATATTGACAGAATCTGACTAATTCGGTCTGTCGTTTGTGACTAGCTGATTACTACTAAGTGACGATATAGTGTGTGGAATCGCAAGGTGGAAAGCGATTATATTTCTCATTCTCTCCGTTGTACCAATGGGTTGGTAGTATTCTCACTAGCATTTTTAGACATCCAGGTTTCCTCGATTCAACCAACCTCCATATTCATGCTAATGACAGTTAGACGAGAAAGTTGCAAAGTGTATAGTGCTTCGGTTCGACTGATCACATTTTACCAAACTATAACAAGGGATTATCGAAGCTCTTACCACCCATGAGCACAAGCCATAACTATACATACAAAATAGTACGTCCTATCGTTATCATTACCTTGACCTTTATTATTACTATTATTATTGCATTTCTCCCCTTACGTGTCTTAAATCCTCATTAGTTTATTCATAATTGCTCATGATATCACTTTATTGACTTTTTACACGATCATGACCTTTAATTATTGTAACAAAAATATTTGAATCATCCTACTACATTCAAGTTCTAACTCGTTACTAACTTATTAAGTCGATTCATTATATGTGAAAATTATATTTGAAATATTCTCAGCGATTGAAATTTAACTAATTCCAACGTTTCGTCCAGCTAAACTTGTCTGGACTTACCCTGAAGAAGTCATGGGTCTCGCACGTAAACGAGAAACCTCCAACGCTGTTAATATCTAACCTCAAAAAATCCATGAAATTGCGCGATCACCGTCCATTGTACTCAGGTGTTGTAGTGGATTTGACACTATTCTCAATATTTTCTATGGTGGGTTCCGAGCTGTGGTGGATGGAGACAGGTTTCCTGTGGATATTGACAGAATCTGACTAATTCGGTCTGTCGTTTGTGACTAGCTGATTACTACTAAGTGACGATATAGTGTGTGGAATCGCAAGGTGGAAAGCGATTATATTTCTCATTCTCTCCGTTGTACCAATGGGTTGGTAGTATTCTCACTAGCATTTTTAGACATCCAGGTTTCCTCGATTCAACCAACCTCCATATTCATGCTAATGACAGTTAGACGAGAAAGTTGCAAAGTGTATAGTGCTTCGGTTCGACTGATCACATTTTACCAAACTATAACAAGGGATTATCGAAGCTCTTACCACCCATGAGCACAAGCCATAACTATACATACAAAATAGTACGTCCTATCGTTATCATTACCTTGACCTTTATTATTACTATTATTATTGCATTTCTCCCCTTACGTGTCTTAAATCCTCATTAGTTTATTCATAATTGCTCATGATATCACTTTATTGACTTTTTACACGATCATGACCTTTAATTATTGTAACAAAAATATTTGAATCATCCTACTACATTCAAGTTCTAACTCGTTACTAACTTATTAAGTCGATTCATTATATGTGAAAATTATATTTGAAATATTCTCAGCGATTGAAATTTAACTAATTCCAACGTTTCGTCCAGCTAAACTTGTCTGGACTTACCCTGAAGAAGTCATGGGTCTCGCACGTAAACGAGAAACCTCCAACGCTGTTAATATCTAACCTCAAAAAATCCATGAAATTGCGCGATCACCGTCCATTGTACTCAGGTGTTGTAGTGGATTTGACACTATTCTCAATATTTTCTATGGTGGGTTCCGAGCTGTGGTGGATGGAGACAGGTTTCCTGTGGATATTGACAGAATCTGACTAATTCGGTCTGTCGTTTGTGACTAGCTGATTACTACTAAGTGACGATATAGTGTGTGGAATCGCAAGGTGGAAAGCGATTATATTTCTCATTCTCTCCGTTGTACCAATGGGTTGGTAGTATTCTCACTAGCATTTTTAGACATCCAGGTTTCCTCGATTCAACCAACCTCCATATTCATGCTAATGACAGTTAGACGAGAAAG